CTGCCATACAAAATCCAGATTATCTTCTTTGAACTAGATTATGGGCCCTTCCAGACTGTCCCTATATCCCAAGATCTGATCCCAGGTTTTCTGTGTATCCCAGATTATCTTGTAGTGCAGACTCATATAATCCAGTTTTTTTTTCACGTCAGGAGCGACTTGAGAAACTTCAAGTCACTACTGATGTGAGAGAATGGGCCGTCTGCATGGACATTGCCCAGGGGATGGCCGGATGTTTTACCATCCTGTGGGAAGGTCCTCTCATGTCCCCGTGTGGAAAGTAAGTAAGTCACAGCAGGACCAAGTGTGTGTGTGTGTTGAAGAAAAACGTTATGATGTTAATTATCATTTGCAGCTGGTAATGTAGGTCAGCCAGCATGTTTGGGCCACACCCGGTGGGGTATAACTGTACGGGTTTTAGAATACAGTTCATATTTTGCTCTGAGGAGCTCTATGCTCAAAGGCTTTGCTCAGGGGAGCAGTTTGGAGAAGCTACTCTGAAGGAGACTATGGTGAAATAACTATTTACTCAAGGTTTATGTTTTGCTTTCTCATTTGATTGAAGATGAAGATGCCTTATTCTATGTTACTTACAAGGACTATGTAAGTTTGTTGCAATGTTTGATTTTTGTATGCAACACTACAAGTTTATGTTTCACCTCTGCTGTTAAGAGTAATGTTCATTTTTCCCCTTGCCTGTGTGTCTTCTGTATGGGTCGTTGGCTAAAATCCGCTTGCTGGAAGTGCCCTTATTGGCAATGTAGACTCATATAATTTAGTTCAAAGCAGATAATGTGGATTATCTGATTTGATGGATGATGTGGCAGTGTAGAAGGCACCTCATTTCCTTGATGTCCTGTGGACAGATCCGAGGCCTTATCATTCATCTTTCACACAGCACTACAGAGCAAGACGGGCACCTTTCTCAAACACAGATCAGAACATGTTCAGCAGTAAATGGACACATGCCAATTCAAATCAGATTGTGCTGTCTTTTTCAAGTCTATCACTGAGCTGTATCTTTTCCTTCCGATACCACAAGCTCAGGGTTGGGGTTGGTAATTCCAACAGACGTTTGATTTCAGATAACTGTTGTTCTGTATCACGAAAAAGCACCCTCTCATTTCTAGCAAAGGGCCTCCCAGGGGTCTGAGACTTTCACAGCCTTTAGCTTGTGCTGTAAACTGACCTGCCAGGCACCTTGGTGATGAAAACCCAAGTTTGTTCCTGCCTCCACAGTGCTCTCATTCAAGAAGGACCTCACAAAGAACCTCAGTTTTGAGCTGCCCAAGATTTATGAATGGGCACTTTGTACAATTGAAACCCCAGTCCTTTCCTCCTCCTCCAACAGACAGAGAAGGAAAGAAATGATGCTGAAGGAGGTGGGCGCATTACTGTGCATTGGCAGCCCTTTTGCCACCCACAGCTTTTAATACAAGAACTACCCAGAGATGCGGGATAAAGCAACAGAGAAGAAAAGCTGTGTTTAGATCTCATTCATAAAGACAGGCTCTGCACAGAAAAACAGAGAGATAGATACTCTCTCTCTTGCTAAATACACTATGGGTCCTCGGTATCCAGTTTGGCAACTACTACTACTACTACTACTACTAATAATAATAATAATAATAATAATAATAATAATAATAGAGCCCCCGGTGGCACAATGGGTTAAATGGTTGTGCCAGCAGGACTGAAGACCGATAGATCAGAGGTTCGAATACAGGGAGGGCGCGGATGAGCTCCCTATGTCAGCTCCAGCTTCCCATGCGGGAACATAAGAGAAGCCCCCCACAAGGATGGGAAAACATCAAAAACATCCAGGTGCCCCTGGACAACGTTCTTGGGGACGGCCAATTCTTTCACACCAAAAGCGGCTTGCAGTTTCTGAAGTGGCTCCTGACATGAATAATAATAGATATGGAGTGCGCCTTCGGGTTGTTTATATTTTCATCATGTCTGGGACGACTTGAGAAACTGCAAGTCGCTTCTGATGTGAGAGAATTGGCCGTCTGCAGAGACGTTGCCTAGGGGACGCCTGGATGTGTTACCATCCTGTGCAAGGCTTCTCTCATGTCCCTGCATGGGAAGCTGGAGCTGACACACGGGAGCTCACCCCGTCTCATGAATTCGAACCACCGACGTTCAGGTCAGCAGTTCAGCCAGCACAAGTATTTAACCTATCGCTCCACTGTGGCTCCTTTGCGCCTTCGGTATCCAGGTGGGTTCCAGGACACTGCTGTAGATACTAGAAATCTGTAAATGTTCAAGTCCCAGTATATACATACAAAGGCATAGTAAAATGCTGTCCCTTTMTAGCACAATCAAGGCTTGCATTTTTAGGATAGCGTTAATGCAGTTTGATACCACTTTAACTGGTACGACTCAATGTTATGGAATTATGTGAACTGTCAAAGGCTGGAATCACTAGGTTGTTGTAGGTTTTTTGAGGAGTATGGCCATGTTCTAGAAGCATTCTCTCCCGACGTTTTGCCTGCATCTATGGGAGGCATCCTCAGAGGTTGTGAAACTTCACAACCGCTGAGGATGCCTGCCATAGATGCAGGCAAAATGTCAGGAGAGAATGCTTCTAGAACATGGCRATATAGCKCGAAAAACCTACAACAATTATGGGAACTGTAGTTTTACAAGGTCTTGAAACATCTCCTCCAAAGAATGCTGGGATCTCACCAAACTGAAACTCTCATAACTGCAAATCAGTATTACGGAATTATGGGAACTGTAATTTTACAAGATCTTGAACCTTCTCCTCCAAAGAGTGCTGGGATCTCACCAAACTGCAACTCCCATAATTGCAACTCAATGTTATGGAATAATGGGAACTGTAGTTTAACAAGGTCTTGAACCTTCTCCTCCAGATTGCTGGGACCTCACCAAACTGCAACTCCCATAATTCCATAGCATTTAGCCCTGGCAATTAAAGCATACAGTGTAGACCAGGTATGGGCTAACTTCAGCCCTCCAGATGTTTTGGACTTCAACTCCCACAATTCCTAACAGCCTACTGAATGTTAGAAATTGTGGGAGTTGGGAGTCCAAAACACCTGGAGGACCAAAGTTTGCCCATGCGTGGTGTAGATGTACCAGTAGATTTTTGTATTTAGTATGGGATATTTCCAAGTTGTGAATGATGGAATCTACGGATGCAGGACCTGCGGATACAGAGGGTTGACTGTACACCTGCATTATGGAGTTTCTTTTAAAGAGTAAATTCCTTCACCAGTTCCTCCTCCTTCACTTTCCCTGAAAACACAAATTAGAGTCAATGGAATGCACTGAAATCTGATCCGCTGCTTCCTCCTGTGCAAACAAGCCCTGGCATCTCAAGCATTTTAGAATCATAGAATCCTAGAGTTGGAAGAGACCTTGTGGGCCAACCCCCTGCCAAGAAGCAGAAAAATCGCATTCAAAGCACCTCAGACAGATGGCCATCCAGACTCTGCTTAAAAGCTTCCAAAGGAGCCTCCACCACACTATGGGGCAGAGAGTTCCACTGCTGAACAGCTCTCCCAGTCAGGAAGTTCTTCCTAATGTTCAGGTGGAATATCCTTTCCTGGAGTTTGAAGCCATTGTTTATTTATTTATTTACCATATTTATATACCACCTGTCTCATCCTGAAGGCGACTCAAGGCGGTTTACATTCGGCACAATTCGATGCCCCCCAACATATAAAATACAATTTAAAACATTAGCATATAAAATATAGGTTCATAAACAATAAATAAAAACATAAATCTTCAGTGTCTCCTTACTGAAATCACTATTCAATAGCATCGTCAGTCGTTCCATGGTCTATCACTGCCTGTTACATTGCATTTGAAAACGCCTGCTCAAAAAGCCAGGTTTTAACCTTTTTGCAAAATGTTAAGAGGGAGGAGGCCGATCTAATATCCCTAGGAAGGGCGTTCCACAGCCGAGGGGCCACCGCTGAGAAGGCCCTGTCTCCTGTTCCTGCCAAATGCATCTGAGACAGAGGCGGGACCGAGAGCAGGGTCTCCCCAGACGATCTTAAAGTCCTAGATTGTTCGAAAGGGAAGATTTGTTCGGACAGATAAGCTGGGCCAAAACCGTTTAGGGCTTTATAAGCTAAAGCCAGCAGTTTGAATTGTGCTCGGTAGCAGACTGGCAGCCAGTGGAGCTGGCACAAGAGAAGTTGTATGCTTCCTGAGCGCCGCTCCAGTTAGCAACCTGGCTGTCACCAGTGGGACCATTTGGAGCTTCAGAACAGTCTTCAAAGGCAACCCCACGTACAGTGCATTACAGTAGTCTATATGGGATGTAACCAGGGTGTGGACTTCCTTGGCCAAATCAGACTTCCCAACGTACGGCCGCAGCATTTAACTGTGCAAATGCTCCCCTGGTCACCGCCGAAACCTGGCCTCCATCTCAGATGCGTTTAGCGGGAACAAGAAACAGGGCCTTCTTAGTGATGAGTCCAGGATCACACCCAAGCTGCGAATTGTTCCGTGTCCTTGTCTCTAGAGCAGCAGAAAACAAGCTTTCTCCCTCCTCCCTATGAATTCTCCTTACATATTTATACATGGCCCTCATCATGTCTCCTCTCAGCCTTCGCTTCTGAAGGCTAAACATGCCCAGCTCTTTAAGCCGCTCCTCATAGGGCTTGTTCTCCAGAACCTTGATCATTTATGGACACGTTCGAGTCCAAAACACCTGGAGGGCCAGAGTTTGCCTATGCCTGATCTACACAACAGAATGAATGCACTTTGACAACACTCAATGCTGCTATGGAATCCTGGGATCTGTAGTTTGGTAAGTCTCCTAGCAGAAAAGACTAAAGACTTTGTAAATGCCCAGGATCCCATAGCATTGAGCCATTAAGTGATGTCAAACTGCGTTAAGGCTACTGTGTAGATGCACCCACAGACCCAACACTGCCCAATCTGCATCCCTGCAGGCATCCTTCTCCATTCTCTTCCCTGGAGGCTATTTCCTCCAAAACCCTTGTAATTAGACTTACCCAACTGGGCACTTTGTTGCTCAGCTTGACTTTCTTGCACTGGTTGGTGGCCAAATCCATGTTGTCTCCAATGGGGAAGCAAGAGAGGCAAAAGCACCAGGGCAGGAGGCAAGGGAAGAAGAAACAGAAGGGATGGAGAGGCAGAGGTAGGCAAAAGGCGACGCTGTTCCTGCTTAAGATGGTTAATTGGGCTTGCGGAGCGGAGTGGGTGGGGCGCCGGCCGGAGCCGAGGCAGGGACCGAAAAGGAGGGGCGAGAAAGAGAGGGGAGAGTGGGTGCGCATGCGCATACTCCACCGCCGCCCCCCTCCCTTTGGCAAGCGAAGGAGACAGCCCTCGCTTGCACTGCCACGCCGCACGGCGTCCCCTCCTGGGTCGCTTCTGCGCATGCGCCAGCCTCGCCGCGAATCGCCATGCTCGCTTCGGAAAAAGGGGGCGGGAGAGGACGAAAATGAAGCTCTCTAGGAAAGAGGAGTCGAACGGGTGAGAGCGGCACTTCCGGGTTCGCCGCTCTAGGCGCGCAGAGGCTGTTTCTCTTTTGTAGGAGGTGGAGGAGGACTCTTGTATTTCTGGAAAGGGGACAGAGAAAGAGAATTAGTGCGGTTTGACACCACTTTACCTTACTCGGTGGTCATGCCTTCTTTCTCTTTCCCTCTCCTCATATATTTTTCGCTTTCTCTTCCTTTCCCTTTCTTTTCTTTCCTGTCTTTTTCACCTTCCATCCTTCCTCCCTTCAGCTCTGAGAAGGCCTAACTCAAGCCTCCATGCCATGGTGGGCAGGCTTTCTGTATGGCTCTTTCCTTCCACACATGTCGCCTTTCTTTCCCAGTGGCATCACAAAGGGCCACTTCATCTAGCAACAGCTTATCCACTGTATTATCGAAGGCTTTCGTGGCCGGAATCACTGGGTTGTTGTAGGTTTTTTCAGGCTATATGGCCATGTTCTAGAGGCATTCTCTCCTGATGTTTCGCCTGCATCTATGGCAAGCATCCTCAGAGGTTGTGAGATCTGTTGGAACTAGGAAAAGGGGTTTATATATCTGTGGACTGACCAGGGTAGGACAAAGGACTCTTGTCTGCATGTGGACAATTTCAACAGAAAGGAGGAAACCATGAAAATGAACAAAATCTGGCTACCAGTATTAAAAATCTCTAAAATTACAACAGCAAAACAACAGACAGGAAACAATCAGGGACATCTAATCACGTCTCAACAAAAGATTCCCTCAGGCACTAACAAGCCACACCAAAAAACTGCCAGGCCATCAAATGCGTGGTCAGTTGAAACATTCATACCTAGCTCCAACAGACAAGAGTTCTTTGTCCCACCCTGGTCATTCCACAGATATATAAACCCATTTTCCTAGTTCCAACAGACTTCACTACCTCTGAGGATGCTTGCCATAGATGCAGGCAAAACGACAGGAGAGAATGCCTCTAGAACAGGGGTCCTCAAACTAAGGCCTGGGGGCCAGATATGGCCCTCCAAGGTCATTTACCCGGCCCTCACTCAGGGTCAACCTAAGTCTGAAACTACTTGAAAGCACACAACAATCCTATCCCATCAGCCAAAAATAGGTCCACACTTCCTATTGAAATACTAATAAGTTTATATTTGTTAAAAATCATCTCCATTTTTATTATTGTATTGTTTTAAAGGTTTTTTTGCACTACAAATAAGTTATGTGTAGTGTGCATAGGAATTCATTTATGTTTTTTTCAAATTATAATCCAGCCCTCCAACAGTTTGACGGACTGTGACCTGGCCCTCCATTTAAAAAGTTTGTGGACCCCTGGTCTAGAACATGGCCATATAGCCCAAAAAAACCCTACAAAAACCCAGCCTATCCACTGACATCGCAAGGGGTCACTTCACCTAGCAACAGCCTGTCCACTTACATTGCAAAGGGCCACTTCACCGAGCAACAACCTATCCAACGACATCGCAAACAGCTACCTCACCTAGCAACAGCCTACCCACTGACACTGCAAAGGGCCACTTCACCTAGCAACAGTCTATCCACTGGCATCCCAAAGGGCCACGCCACCTAGCAACAGCCTATCCAGAGACACCACGAAGGGCCACCTAGCAACAACCTATTCACTGACATCGCGAAGGGCCACCTCACCCAGCAACAGCCTAGCCACTGACATTGCAAAGGGCCACTTCACCAACCAGCAGTCTTTGTGGTATAAACAGACAGATATAATTTGTCTTTTACACAAAGAGATGCATATATGAAAAGTTCCTGCAATTCTAAAACGCACTCTGTTTCAGAGTTGTTCATCTTGAGGAAACAGGTGGGAATATGTCTTATTTATTTATTTATTTACTTTATTTATATACCGTTTTTCTCATCCCTTAGGCAACTCAAAGCGGTTAACAACATCAATACAAAACAAGGCAAGTATATAAGAGTTAAAAACAATTATAAAACAAACAATTAAACATCAGTATAACATTTTCCCTGTGTCCTCTGATGTTTCCATCTTAACTTTACAGATCATAGATATGGTTACTATGGAAATCTATGAGTTATGAAACATGCCCATGGCATCTAAATGGATTATAACCACTTAATTATCATCTGTATGTTAAGTCACCCTTGGCAGCACTTTTCATGTCGTTCCTGCTGCAGAAGCAGAGCTAGCTTTCAAAATAAATCTTTATATAGTTTTGTGAAATCAGAAATATTCACAGAAATAGTATGAAATGGATCTCACCCATGTTTCAAGATACTTTTCCCATGTAGCAAAACTGACCTCCCTCCTTCCTTAAATCCCTAGGCAAAGAACATTTAATACTTCTCCACACACCATTTCCATTGCTTAACTGATGTTTAACAGATAGGAAGTCATGTCCCAATGCCCTAATCTTTCAACCGTTACACCAGCAATGAGTAACTCAGTAGCAGCAGTGAAAAATCCAGTTTCAAAAATTACGTACTGTGGATTATCCAGTCATTTATTTCCTCCTCTCCACACATTTCCTTGGGGCAAATACACACTTTGCTTTATATCCCCACCCTTTCATTGTGATTGTTGCAGAGAACATAATTAAAATGCATTGAAGATTACTAACACAAATTAAACAACAGAGATTTAACAAGCTTATACTAATAAGATGAGCACGTGCCTGTTATGGGGAACACTTGTCCTTCCAGATAGATACAAATAAAGAAATGTCATGTAGGAAATGGAGCAAACTTGTTTTCTGCTATTACAGACACTAGACTATGAGCCAATGGATTCAAATTAAAGGAGAAGGTATTCCACCTAAACATTAGAAAGACCTTAATTGTGAGACCTGTTAAGACAGTGGAATAAAATGCCTTGGTGGATGTCAGGCTCTCCTTTTCAGGGTGGATCTACACTATAGGATAAATGTGATTTGACACCACTTTAACTGCACAATGCTATGGAATTGAGAGTTTACAAGGTATTTAGACTGCCAAAGAATGCTAGTTGCTCACCAAGCTACAAATCCTAGAATTTCATAGCACTCAGCCATGACAGTTAAAGTGGTGTCAAACTGCATTAATTCTACATTGTCGATGCATCCTTTTGAAGGCACCCAATGTCTCATCCAGCCAACCCTGTATCTGCTAGGTTTATTCCACCAGATTCATTCAGAGCAGTGGTTCCCAACCTGTGATCCCTGGACCACTGGTCATCCACAAGAACTAAAATATGGTCTGCGGCCTCACAGTTACTATAGCATTGCAACAAGAGTGACTGGTCTTGCAAAACCCTCTTACAGTGCTGAGGCTTATTAAATATGGTTTTCTGTGGGAGAACAGATGGCGATTACTGGATAGCATATGTTCTGTTTCAGTAACTAGAGCTGGTGTGGTCTATCCAATGCAATTTTCTGAATAAGCACTCCAAATAATCAAACCGAATTTAAAGGGGACCAAAAACTGATTTGTAACCCTTTTGGTACTAATGTCGGAGAGTGATCCCTGATCAAGTAGTCCATAGCCAAAAAAATGGTTGGGAACCCCTGTTCAAGGACAATGGCCATAGAGGGAAGAATTCCAGAAATATTAAAACTCTTTTGAAAGACTGGATAAACCCCTGTATCCTAGACACTTATCTGTACTATTACTTTAAAGGAAACCCTTCCCAGATAACAGTTGTCGATCCATATAAAACAGAAGTTCAACTTTTGGTGAACTCTTGCATATGAAACCACACTCCTTCTATTTGTGCTTCCCCATTGTCGATCAGGATGGAACAATTTCTCACTTCCACTTTCTCACACACTGGAATTTTTTAAAAAATTTAATGCTGCATAGGATATTTCCAAATCCTGTAAATTAAATGAAGTTGTCCCACGTTTGCATGCCTTTTGACATTTTCCAGATAAAAGTTGGAATATTGTGGTCAAACAAGATCTGAGAGAGTGTGATCAAAATGGCAAAAGTTATTAATGAATAAAAACTCACAAGGGACTGCAGCAGTTTGCTTTCATTGGAGTTTACTGGGAAGAGCAAGATTTTGTCTTCTTTTCTCCTACTGAGGGCCCTTCCAGAGAGGCCCTATATTCCAAGATCTGATCCCAAGTTTTCTGCTTATCTCAGATTATCTGGCAGTGCAGACTCAATCCGGTTTAAAGCAAAAAACCTGAGATCAAATCCTGGGATATAGGGTCTCTCTGGAAGGGCCAGAGTTTCCAGAGAAGAAAACTACTTCTGCATTTTAAACATGGTTTGCCACAATTAGAGGAAGATGGGGAAATTGAATGAAAGAAAGAGAAACTGGAGGATTTTTGAAGCTACTGAAAAAAAGTGGGATGACAGAGAATTCGTTAAGACTGTCTTTTTATTCTTACAAGTCGGCTTCTACAGGTATGATTATTTCCAGCATTGAAAGGAATATGTTGAATCTTCTTACTGTATATGTGTGTAAGCAAAAGAGTGTTCTGACTAACTGCAGAAAGATTTTTTCATTATGGCACTAACTTTTTGTGTTGGTGGGATTGTGTGTTCCTGTGAGGCACGAAGCTGTGCTGATGATGACAGTGCAACTAGTAGAGTGTCAATAGACAGCATCTAGGTCAATTCTTATGCGAGGGATTTGGTGGTTAAAAGCATCCACAGTGAGCTACTGAAGGTCCTATCAATGGATTCAGAGGGGAGGATACCCGAGTTAAACCTCTGAGCATTATGAACAGCTCTGCTGGACGTGAATCTACAGATGCAGCACGTGCAGAGAAGAAAGTTTTATTCATTGCATGTGTTGCCACCTTATAGGAGTGAAGGTGCTTTCTATACAATGTCTTGTTG